GTTCACAGGCCCCAGTGTTCCAGGTACCTAAATCCTCTGCTTTTTGCACGATACCTTAGAGGGATTAAACCACCCCTGATTTATCAGGCCCCTCTGGTTTTATTTATATTAACTTTATTAATATAAATTGGCCACTTTTGGATTTAATCCATAAATTTCACGTAATTCTTCTGAATTACTTATACCAGTTTTGTCCCTGAGTTTTTACTATAAAAACTCTTAGTTTTTGCACCTTGTGTAGCTAGAAGACACTTGTCTTGGCATCACATAGGCTGACAGGAGTAGAAGAGGTAGGAGAGGGGGGGGGACTTATGACGGAGAACATATCAGAAAAACAGAGTGACTTAGGAGTGAATTGTGTATTAGCCTAAAGAATTGTTAGAGATAGAAAAGAGTTAGAGTGTTACCTACCAAAAATTGATAAAAGAATAGTTATTTTACCGACCTACAGACCATCAAGCAAGTTACCCCGGACAACAAACCGGAGTAGGACGTGTTGCGGAGTGGAGAAGTGCAAGAAATCTCGGAGGGCACGCCTTACTTTCCACACTGCGGGACTGTAATCAAGGCGAGTCGCAGGGTCATCCGGGCGATCAATGATTTATCTGCTCCTTTCCTGCTCTGGCCTGACTCTGAAAAAAGAAGGGAAATATCTGGTGTCATGAAGGCTGTGTTGGTTTTGTCGACAGGACCACCATTCCCCTCTACCAGCGACCTTCAATATATGACGAGGTGTTCTTTGATAAAAAAAAAACGTTATTCGATCAATTGCCAGGTCATTTGCGACTGCAACCGATTTATTACGGCTTACATGACAGGCTGGCCTGGTTCGTGTGGCAACAGCTTGGTTTTCAAACGGTGTAAGACTCAAAAGTGGTTGTGAAACCCTTTTGCTGAATTGAGAAGGGGATGATGGAGGTGCAAACTCTGCCCTTCTATACTATCAGAAACAAGACCCCCAAGCTTAGCTTGGAAAGTTTTAATAACGTGATAGGATTGGTCGGTTCCAGTAAAACTTTGTTTGATGAAAGGTAAAGGTTGAATATATAATTTCTTATAAAAGGAACTGTTATGTTGTGTAACAGATGAAAGGTTTATATAATTGTTTGTAACTGGTGTGTTATATATTTATTGACTGCTGAGTGATGAACTGAGTGAATGAACTGTGTGAATGAGTGGATGAACTGAGGAGACAACAAATGGGGGGAAGAGAGCCTCCTTTTATAGACAAATGTGAGGGAATT